GCCGGCTCGTTAGCCGCGGCCCAGGACGGTCCAGTCCGCCGAAGCGATGCAAACGCATCAGATGTGGTAGACTTATCCGCGTCGTTCGGCGTAGCACCTACTTTTCCCGTCTTCTTTTCGGGAGCGCATTGCCGACCCTGAGCTGCCATCTGGCGAAGACTCCCGAGAAGCGAGTGCAACCTTCTCTAAACTCGAGCGACCGCGGGGCGGAGTCTCGACGGTGAAGTTCCCGACTGTCTGTGGGTACTAATTGAAGAAGCCTGGAGCATACTCACACACGTTTTCCCCCAACTCCCCAGGGACCAGGGATGAGAGAGGGGGTTTGCGCAACAGGGACTCAACGTCTCAGTTGTTTTTAGGACCTCGCCGGGGAAGTCCGCCTCTCGTTGCTCTTAAACGACGTCGTGAAGTTGCTGATATTGTTAGTGCCGCAGGTCAGGAAACAGTCTCATGTTGATCGCTAGGTCAGAGGCTATCGTGTATATGGGCTGCGTACGCAACGCGTATGTAGACACATATCGAGACGCCACATGCCGTACACATGTATAGTACCTATGCACAGCCATATGGGAAGGATGCCGACTCGGTTCACGGACAAGCCTTGTCGTCCGATCATCTGAATCAGACGACCTAGATCTTGGGATTGAGATGGTAACAGCCGCCTCGGGTACGATATAACGGCCCTGGATAGTTCCGCCTGTTCGCAACTTATTCTGCGCGAGTGGAACAGCTTTCTTTTCCTTCTCCCTGCCCCCGCTTCTCCCGGCCTCGCTGGGCCGTTTCTTCGAGACTAGTATCGCCGAATTCTTTTTTTGGTGCACTTTTCAGGCGCATTCGGGACCCATGCGATAGCCACGTCTGCAAGTTCTCACCTCATCTCCGTCTCCATACTGATGGGCTGGGTTTCAGGCACATGAAACGGTCACATAGGCATGGGTTGACAGTCGATCACAGGGGGTCTGGCTTCCCGATAGTGCATTGCAGAATCCTTTCGACTCCGAATCGGGATGGCTGGATTTTCTCAACTTAGGGCCCTGGTCAGCTAGGTTGCGAGTCACTAGAAATCCTTCTGGCTTCTAATTTCCTGGCTCTGTATGCGTCGTTACTCGCGTCCCTCCGCTCTTGCGTGTCAGCCTCGATTCTCAGGATACCGAGGGCCACGGCTCGAGCATCCGGCTCTGCTTCCTCATCACCGTCCTGAATGAATAGCACGTAAATCCGATCAGAGCGTTTCCCGTCTTCCCGAAGAAAGGCCACTCCTGTAACCTAGGTCCGGACCAGGTCCCGATCCCAGGTATCAGTCGACGCGACCGCAAAACAGCGACGAAATCCTGCACCTATAGGAAAGCAACGGGCGAAATTGCAGCGAGTTATCCAGAGCAAAGGAGGCAGGCGAAGGAATTTAACGAAAGAGACACGATTCACATGAGTACATAGATTGGTCAGTACTTGCCTTAGGTAGGTAAGCTAATAATAGGTACCTAATGTACCTGATCGCGTGCTGCAGCAAAGGTACCGGGTACTTACAGGTAGGTATGTGGTAAGTCAAGCGGGAGGGGAGCCGGATCTGGTCAGAGGTTGATTGGTTGACGAAACACAGCAGAGGGAGGGGGGGAAATGGAGAGAGAAAAGAAGGGAGCAGAACAGGAAGATATATGTGTAGGTACCTACCTACCTCTCCCATGTTCAGGTACATCAGAGAATCGAGTATCTGGCTGCCCTAAGTTACCTAGGTACTTATCCCCTGATCAGCACCTGGTACCAGCTGCCAACTCACTGCCCCCCCTCCTTTCCATGCTTCTGCCCCATCTGCCCTTTTCAGCAACGGCCTAGAGATCCGAACTCGAACAGGAACAGGGTCTTTGGCCCTTCCGTTGCGTACATCAAGACAACCGCGGCATCCCCTACTTAGGTCGGGTACCTGGCCTGACCTGACATCGCATACCTTCATAACGTAGTACCTTAGCCAGGAGGCGCCTCCTACCTCTCTGACTTACACTCATATGTAATCCAAGGTACTCTGTATTTCCGGATGGCTTACATATAGGAAAATGTATCCATCATTATGTGACTTTCTCATAACCCCTGAAAGAGGCAGCGTGCTGGGCAAGCCCCTGTCAGCAAGTCTCAGCAAAGTGGTGAGTTTAGGTGATTTTCCTTACTGCCTCATAATACCTACCTACATAGTATGTACATACTATGTAGGTACCAGGTAGTTACGTGGTTAGTCTGCCCCTGGGTCTCTTCCCTCATGAAGATCAAAATCCCTCGCAACGGCTGCCGCTGGGAGTTCATGTTTATCACAGCCGCACGCACCACAGGACTGCACTACAGGACTACAGGTACATAGTGCTTCGCTAGTTGCGTACCTGTAGACACAAATGCACAATGAGCATATGGTACTTGTTTGAATGGTGGTGAAATTACCTACCTCCTAGGCTCGTCAGACCAATCTGCACACCATATACACGTCTGCACATGAGCTTAGAGAGGGGATGGTTGGGGAGAAGGGATGGACAATGGTACCACTTTTCAACTGTCACACCACACTAGGTTCCCTGTCAAGAGCTTACAGTGTGCAAGACAGACTACCTACCTGATACCTGGGTAAGTTGCTTACCTTCCATCGGATCCTAATAATGAGGCGGGGGTACCTGACGTATAATAGGTACCTGTGTACGCACTTACGTTATGGGTGGTGACCCTTGTTTCGTGACATGCCTCCTACTTACCTACCTAGGTACCTGAGTACCTAATGAAGGAAGGTGAGAGGTACATAACCTTTGCGTCCTCCTGCCCAGTATGTACCGTAGGTAAGTCAAAGGACGTTCAATGCACAGCTTCCTAACCCAGGCAACTCACCCGGGCACATACTAGATAGGATCACCTGGACCTCTAGGCAGCTCTGGTGCGCAATCGTGTTGCTACATGATAAAATTGCTGCTCATTTCCTCACCCGTATGATTTATCTATCCCGAGTATGGTAAAAATGAGATGACGCTTGTTAGATGTATGGAAAGGGCAGCTTCTACCTATGTCATAGCAGAACGTAGCTCAAGTACCCAGCTGGCAGCTGCTGCCTTGGGTGTCTGGGTACCTTACCTGGGATGTAGATACCCTACCTACCTAGGTACCTCACGAGATCAATGAGCAGCATGTCCTACCTCTTACGCACATGGGGTACCTACCTGTAGATGTATAAGTACATACCGCATGCATGGGCTCCTCTTTGGAAATTGGTGGGCCTGCCATCTCGTGTCTTAAGTGGTTAATCCGCCGGATTGGGTCCACCTACGGTCGCTAACGCCATTCGTCGCGGCAAAATGGCCTGGCTATGGCCAATCACAGGCATCAGGAGATCAGGTACCCAGGTTGCTAGCTTTGGGTCCTGGCACAGTACACAGTGTACCTGGTCGGCTCCTTGCTCGTGTGCGATTCCTCTCCACCCCCGAGACGCTGGAGGGAGGCAGCGGCAAGCCATGTATGGCTGGTACCCCGAAGGTACCTTGCCATCTGGATTTCCCCAGGGGTATACTTTTGTGCGTGTACATGCATACGTAGATGGACGTTGCCGGCTGGAAGGCGAGGAAAGGCGAGGGAGAGAAGGAGAAGAGGGCCTGCCTGGGCCACCCACTGCAGCAATTTTCGCTTTTTCCCACGCCGCCTCCTCCTTCAACTAGGCCCAATTGCTAAAATCCTTCTCTTCCCTTCCTCTCTCTCGACTGCCATCGCACACTCTACTTTTTGTTCCGTCTTCTCTTTCTTCCTTTTCCCCCCTCCTTCGTCCGCATCGCACATCGCCCTTCCTTTATTCCCTCCCTTGCCTGCTGGTTCCTATCCTCCTCGAGCTTCCCTCTCCTCCCCTTTTTTCGTTCCGCGCGCATCCCAATTCGTGCCCGTCGTTGGCTTGCCCTTCGTCGTCGTCTTCGGAGGCAAATTTGACTACCATCGCGTTGCGTTCTCTCGAGAAGACGACAATCTTACCACCACCATCGCCACCCATCGTCTCGCCCACTTTCACACCTTCGCCAGTCTACCAAAGGGGGAAAAAAGAAGAAAAATCGACCAAACACCTTGAAAAAAAAAGTTACCAGTGTTGCTGCAGAGAGATTCCGGAGTATCCAAATCGACTCATCGACTTTTTAATCCGTGTACAAATTACCTATTTTCTTGCCAGCTTTTCGATTCGCGTCGCCTTGACACAACGTATATCCCCTACTCGACCCTAATTTCGCGTCCGCTCACTTCGACTACTCTGTTGCGAGAAACTGCAGGCTTCCCTGGTGAGGAAGAAGGAACACCACAGACCTAAGAACGCTCCGGAGCTATCGTGTTGGGCATCCACCAGTCTGGACAGTTTTCTCTTTTCCATCCGGAACCCTGGGAAACAAGGAACTGCTTCGTCATCCAAGATATTTTGTGGCTGATCCGTACCAGGACAAAGCCAAAGTGACCTGACGCAAGTCTGTGCTGCCAATATCGGGACTGTGCTGCATCACGCTGCGCTCGGTCGAGTTGAACTTACAAAGGAGCTTCCTGGCCCTAGCCTCTTGCTCCGTCTCTTCATCTCTGCCCGGTCTCAGGTGGTCATTACCATCTAGCTCTCTTTCTGCACCTGCTCTGGCTCTGTCTCTATTCGCAGTTTTTTCTTTGACCTGAATTGGCTCAGAAACCCCTCCAGGCCAACTCTCGAGTCCACCTTGTCGTTCATCCTTCTTACTTCCCAACTCCATTGATTGCGCAGTTTGTCTCGGCGTCGTCAATCGCTCATTCGGACACGACCACCCCACTAAGATTACTCTTAATACTACTTGAGCGCAAAAGAAAAAAACAGTTACGACACACGCGTCTACTCGCATCCCTCTGTTTCTTGTCTACATCTTTCGATCGCCAGCAAATCTGACCTTTCTTGGTTTCGTTGAGGCCCTGTCAGCGAATCGCGTTTGATACGGCATTCCGAATTGCCGCCTCAGCCAGATTGTCTGTCCCCCATTGCCGGGTCGCTACACGCCTACAGTACGGACAATAGCAACATTGCCACATAATCAGAACCGACCGGGCCACCGTCGCTTCCATCAATACCTTGTTGTAATACCACTCGATCGCCTCTTAACCAACAGAGGCAATCTTCCATTCCTTCCTAGATTTTACTTCTAATTATTTTTTTTTCTCCCGCCGTGGCGATTCGGATCGCCTGCCAGGACTTTGCCTAGGTGGCCAATTTGATTCACGGCAGATTATCACACCACTTTGAGCAATGGACACCGGAGGTCTTGCTCAAATGTCGCACAACGGCTTCACTTCCCCGTCGGGTTTGGGCATGCCCACCGGAGGGTTGGCCTCTCGTCGCAGCGGCGGCCAGAACATCAAGCCGCTGTCCTTCGATGCCATGAAGGCCTCGGCCGACACCAAGGACAACGGTGCTCCGACTCCGCGCACCAGCCGGTCTCACCTGCTTGCAGGTCTCAGGACGGCCCCCAAGTCCGCCACCGCAACCTCGTTCGCTACCTCGCCAACTTCTGCCGTCCCTCCCTCCCACGTACACGGGCGGGGCAGCGTTCCTGGGAACGTGTACGGTGGCCAGGACGGCATGTACAATGGGCCCAAAACTTCGCTTCCGCGCATCGCATCGCAGCAAGCCCACAACTCCCTGATGGGTATGGGCCCGCAGCAGTACACGGCCGAGCAAATCCTAGCCCCCCCCGAGCTTTATCTGGACGAGCAGGTCCAGAACCAGATGGACCCTTCCCTGTACGCACAGCTCGTGGCGACTAACCTGTTCTTGGCCCAGCAACAGCAGCGTCTGCAACAGCAGCTGCTCAGTGTTCAAGCTGCTGCCCAGCAGTTCCAAAACATGAGCCTGAGCGGCCAGTCGGTTTTGCAGCAGCAGATGGCGCTGCAGCATTTGTACCAGCAGCAGCAGCAACTCAAGGACCTGCAGCAATCCATAGCTACATCGATGCCTACCCAGCAGAACCTGTATACCTACTATGACCCTGCGACTGGCCACCAGATGTACTATGTCGACCAGAACGCCGCCCAGGTGAATAACAGCAGCTACGTAGACAACACTCCGGCTACTCCGAAGGGATTCAATCGTCAGCAGAACGGCAATGGCACGCCCCGTGTCCAGGTTTCTCCTCCTCCCGTGGAGATTAGCCCGCCTTCTTTCCGAACGACTTCGCCTCCGAAGAGGGTGGAGCTGGTCGTGGAGCCAACCCCCCTCCCTCCGCCGTCTGCTAATGCCTTCCGCCGTGGCCATAAGAAGTCGTCGTCTCTGGCTAATGGCAACAAGGGTCTGTCCTTGTCGACGGACGAGCCCCCCAAGTCGGCCGGTCCGAAGACCGCCTCGTTCCCATTGACGCCTCTGACTAACGGTAGCTATGGCCCGGGCCAGGGTCGTGCTGGTGAACACCCAATTCGGCAACCCCGCGGACCTCCCGCCTCGGAGGAGCTCCTAGCGAAACCGACTGCCAAGCACGAAGGCAGCAAGAATTTTGCCGCACGGACCCGACGCTCTGCCGTCCACAATCTCGTCAAGGCTAGGATGGTTAGACGGAAGGGTACGGGTAGCAGCTGCGGAAGCATGAGCCCCGTATCCGAGACTGCTGAGGAGGTCGACTCTCCGCTAACCGATAACGAGTCTGACTCTGGACGTAGTGGCTCAGGTAGCCTCTCCGGAGACGCGGAGCCGAGTCTCGCTAGTTCCCGGACTTCAACCAGCGGTAGCTGGGGGGCTATTGGTTCCGATCGACCGGGTTCGCGTCAGAAGTCGCGCAAGAGTGTCGACAGCCTCTCCAGCGTGGGTGAGAGCGAGGGCAGCTTCGCGAGCGTGTTCAAGAACGGGGCGCAGCGGTCAAGCAAGACTGAATCAGCTGACGGGCAACGAAAAGCCCCGATGCTCGTTCTCACCAGCGCCGAGAAGCGCAAGGGGGGCATTGCGGTGGCTTAAGGCATAGCCGGCCTATTTTTCACGCAATAATGATCACATGCTCCCAACGTCTCTGTCTTTTCACGACCATCGCGGCGGAGTGGTAGATCCCTCTTAGCAGAGATTACGTACGAAGGGACGGGACCGGATTGGAGAACAGAATGGACATTTCTTTCGCGCTTTTGATTTCGGGAGGTACTGGACGCTGGATTCTGGGGGACGGTCGGCACTTCGCGGTATCGAGTTTCGTTTGCAATGCCAAGGACCTCTCGAGTCAGCATCCAGCGGAGGTAGGTACACTTCTTCGAGGAGGCCGATGTTTGGAGAGGAAGAGCCCGTGGATGGGAGGGACACTTTGCTGTTTATACTTCACGTCATTCTCTCAGCCAAACCGCACATTCTTATTCGTCGTCAAATGCGTTGAGTTTGGAGGGAAATTGACCAAGGGAGCATCGCACTTACGACACCTGTGGATGCTTTTCCTTCACCCATTGTGTAGACTGATGCTCAAGTTTCAACGGCGAGAGCACCTAAATCAATAGAGGCACTTATCAGACGCCTCAGGTAGTGATGATTAGCTTAATTACAACTGCCTGTTAAGTCTCCCGACGGGAGTTGCCTATGCTGTGAACTGGGTTGGATATTGTCTCGGGCGAAGATAAGTAGTATCGTCAGTTCGCTTACCATGAGCCCGGTTGTAAAAATAGATCTACCCAGTTGCGGACGCAGCGATGATTAGCTCGATGAGAGACTCATAGCACTGGATTTGGCGTCGAGCCGCCTCGCTTGTGCCAGCTGCGCGATCGATACATATGGAACTGGCTTCCACGTCTCCGCATATTAATAGTATTCCGAGCGCGTAGGTACCTAGGTTAGTACAGGTTGTAGCTTAGGTATCCCGACTTGTATCGCGAACCAGGAGGCGCAAGGATAAGATGGAACTACGATGTCCCAACTGTATTGGTAATCCACAGACTCTGGCTAGATATAGCTACGCTCATGGAGGCAGTATGGGTTCCCGTGGGTTTTATCTTAGGGGCGGGGTTAAACAGCGTCGAATTTCGTAGAACTAGGAGGCACGCGCCAGCTCAGGGCATATTTTGTAGTTCGTCTACGCTCTATGGCTGAAGACTACCCTAGATCCATTCAACGTTAACAGTTGATAGTAAGCTGGAGGAGGGGTGTCTTAGGAATGGGATGATCCCACCATAGCACGTTCGAGCGCAGTTCCTTGTATGAGTCGACTTGGTTCAAGGTTATTTGCTCTTGATAGACAGGGCAACGCCAAAGGCAAGGTTGGTCGCTGGGCAGGACTGGCAGGACGTGAGAGCGTATCAGAGCCACGAAGCCTGGATTCATCGTCGCATATTCCAGTTCAAATCTTGGTAAATTGAAAAGCTATCGAATCGGTGTTGGCTATCGATGCGAATACGTAGGTACAAGACTGAACTCATAAGTGCGCTCGGGCTTGATCCAGAAGTAAAAGTGATATACAAAAAAGGCCGTATCTAACGGGGATATCCCTGACGCTCTTTCATCTCCTTGTCATATACAAGCATCACCGGATTACCCGTCCCGATCCATTCTGTTTAAGAGCACGCGTTAGTAGCCTAGAGCGCACTCTAGGTAAGGTGCTAGACGACGTGCCGCAGTGGTGGGCAGTCACCCGTCTATAGATTCTTCTTCGCGAATCCTAGCCTAGGCGTGTCCGCAGAGTCGTCGAAGACAACGAAGGCTGCCTTCAGGGCAACGTCGCCCCAGATATACACACCGATGTCCTCGCCAGACTGGATGCCACCGAAGCAGGACGAGTCATCAACAGGGGCGTAGTTGATGAACCTGCCAGGGATAGCAATCCTGGCGTCCTCAACGCCGAATACGAAGTCGGGTAGGCTACTCGAGCAGGGGAACACGTAGCCGCCCTGTCGGGGATCAAGCTGCGCGCCCGGCACCTGGCGATAGTACGCCGCCACCACCCTCGACGGCAGCAGTGCCAGTGTCGTGCCGGTGTCGGCGATGCCGCTGAATCTCGACGAAGTGAAAGTCGTGTTGCCCACGCCGTAGCCCGAGACACTGAACGACCAGAAACCCTCACTCGAGTCGACATCGGTGTAGGTGATATCGCCCGTGTACTTGGACTTGTCGATGACGCCAAAATCATAAGTACCGGCTAGATGACGTGTCAGCAACTTCGCAGAGAAGCCAAGGGAGGGCGGGCCTGCTAACCCTCGTGGTACTTGAGGTCTGCCGTCCAAACAGCGGCGTCAAGGTTCGGTGCGATGTTTTCGAAGAAGGTCTTCTGAGGAGTCGGCTTCACTGTGTTGATACTGCTGAAGGCCAGGCCCAGGAGACCGTCGTTGTTCGCGTCTTCCGAGAACTGCGACGAGACGGCGGTGGCAACCTCGACGGCTTGTGTCTCGAATGAGACACCGCCGACGTTGACAACGTCCGTATACACCACGCCGTTAGAGGAGCTGCCATCTCCGTAGCTGATATTCCAGGTGGCTCCCGAAAGGCTTTTGGAGCTGCTGCTCTTGCTCGCGTCGTACACGGTCTGTCCGTTGACGGAACTGGGCGGCGTCTCCGTGCTGAATACCCAGAGATCCGAAGACCCGGAGTCAAAGTCCAAATTGAGCTCCTGGGGCGGGGTTCCGATCGAGACGGGCGTCAGGTACTGGATATCGTACTGCTCCGGGGTAGCCGTTGCGCTTCCGCTATCGCGTCGGAAGACCTTCAGGTCGGCCACGATCCTGGCTAGGCCGTCCGGCAGCTTGGCACCGTACTTGAGGTACGCCCGAGCCAGCTGCGCGGGGCCGTGGGCCCTAAAGCCTGGGTTTCGAACCTGCGGGACGGAAAACGTGCCGATCTTGGGTCGTGGGGGGGCGGGAGTTGCCATTGCCATGCCAGAGACGACGGCCGCGAAGGCGAGCGCTCCCACTGAACCAACCATGATGTGAATATAAACCCTTCAGGGGTTCGTTACGTCGAGACCAAAAGGCAGCGGGCGGGTGGCCAAGAGAAAAGGGTCACGGAAGCGAAAGAATATATGTAGTCAAGGACAGGCAGAAGGGGTGGGATGGAGAGAATATGGGTATATCAGAGGAGAAAGAAGAGAGGACGCGGCCGGCGATGATAGTCGAATCTCTCCTTAGACCTCTCACAAAAGAGGTGGGCTAGCGTATCTCCCAAGCCAGTTGGACAATCGAATATTTATAACAAAGATCGACCACGCAATGACGAACCCAGTTTAAGGCAGGGTAGAGGTAAGGTTGGTAGAGAGAGAGAGAGAGAGCGGGTTTGCTGGACAGAGAGATAGGGGTAGTCTGTCTGCCATGGGAGACCGCGGATCTTCCTAGAGGACGATAGAGGCAGTCGTTGGCCGGCGATCCGCTATCAAGCAACCCATGTAGGAAGATTCGGATGACAGCTGCCTTTATGGGCAAGACCGCGGCAGCGGCACAAACATGAGGAGACCAACCACTCCCTAAACCCCTGTGTTTGGGCGCCGTGATCAACTCCGGCCGCGCGAGGTGGAGGGGCTGATAGGGTCTCTGGCGTGGAACATGCGGCGGCTTAGCGGGCAGATCGTCGGCCTGCAGATTCACAACATCGGGTTACTCGCAAGCTGGCTCGTAGAGCAGCATCCTAGTTAGCGAGTGAGAGATTTCGGACCTCCAACCTACCCCCCCGGGACAGGCAACCCATAACCGGTATATGGATAGGATAGATGGAGGCGTCCTTGCCCTGCCATGTCCTGATCTTGCACGTAGACTCACTCACGCCATTATGAGCAATGCTGTCTGGACCTTCCCCCCCCCCCCCTCAAGCCCCGTCTTCTTTATCTAGTGTGCGCCAGCCACCCCCGAGGTTCAATGGTTTCTACGATATACGATGCGTGATCTACGTTATTTTCCGTATCCTGGTGAAGCAGGACACCCACTATTCGCGGGACCAGCATGGATGGCCAGGCATGTGCTCGGATGCGTTACTGAGAGAGGCGTTGATTTGATGGTGGAAAGATTGGAGGGGGAGGTGTGCGTGGAACGTGCCATGGCCAATGTCTTACATCGCCAACCACGTTGCGATGGCCTTAGTAAGTCCGAGCGAGACCAGTGGGGCGGACTCGAGGCGATGAAGATTGGCAAGCAACATGTCGTAGCGTGGCTGGATACGCCCGAAGCATTCGCTCTTTGTCTCTCTTCATGTCTGCGTGTCTCCTTATCTCTTTGTCCCTCCTCCCATACAGACCCTGCGCATAGAAGGGTGCTCAGCGAGTTGCGTTGTCGCTTCAGAGAGGGGAAACCTAGAAACCTGCGCCGATAACGCCTATGCAAGCATGCAAGGAAGAGATATATAGACATGTAGATCGTCACGAAGAGGAGGGGGATTCCCTGGGGATTTCCTTACGCCATGGGGCCAGCCTAGTTGCTTTCTGGCAGGTCGTCGCGGCCGGATGAGGATCCTCCCTCTCTCCGTTTACGCGAGTCGGTCATGGCAAACAGTTGGGGGGGGCGCGACCTCAGACAAGTGCTGAAGAAAACAAGCCTTTCCCCGGATCTTGGCTACTACCACCTTAGTACCGAAGGCTCGGCTGCTCAACCGCCAACATCACGGAAAGAGCAAAAGGGACTCGTCGTCGTCGACTCTGAGCAAGAATTGTTATCGCGCCAAGTCTCTTCGCTCCCCACGCCGGTGCGCGGTGACATCTCACTAGGGTCAACTCCGGACCTGGACGCTGTCGACATGGTACGACATGCACATGTTAACTCGCGCCATCGAAGGCCTGAGAGGTTTACGTGGGAGTACCTACTTAGTACGGTGGTAGAGGGAAGCAGGGGGTAGGTAGCCTGACTGGCCGAGAGACTTCGGGGAGGGAGTACTCATAAGAAGTAGAATGGAAGAAAATCGAAGGAAATCGAAGAGGAAATAAAAAGCGGATAGGAAAGGAGAGAGATAGGGAGAGAGAGAGAAAGAGAGAGAGAGAGAGAGAGAGAGAGAGAGAGAGAGAGAGAGAGAGACAGAAGGCTAGCCCGCGGGCACTCTCAGCCACTCGCAGCCAAACCACCCTGGCTTCTCCCGCTCCCCTCTACCTACAATGTACGAATGCACAATCCCAACCCGCCCGTCCTATTCACCAGCGACGATCCCCCCCTACTGGTACGCAGGCTTGATTGGATCTGATTCGATTCATGCGAGTGATTCCCAACCCAACCCAGCCCAGCACGTACCTACATACCTACATAGGTACATAATAATGCATTAGGTACGTGATAAGACGTAGGTACATATACACATATTTTCCTACCTCCTCTACCCCCTACGTGTATAGATTACTAGTAGGTAGGTATATCACCTTTCGCCTCTCAGGTAGCTAGGGTCCTAGGGGGTAGATGGGTAGGTAGGGGTAGGTATACATCGACATGGAGAGGTAGGTAAGTAGGAGGTATGGATCACCCTACTACTCCTCCGCGATCGCCTCCTCGTGCTCTCGCCTCGGGGCCACGTCTCGATGAGGAACGTTCGGCACAGGAAGATCTGCACGCCTACACGGAGCCCACACCCCGTTTCTGTAGCGATATGCGTCGAAATAAGCATCGCGTCGGTGGCCCGAGATGGCAGGTCGGCTATTAGACAGCGCCAATAGAATGAGATGGCTAGGCCGTCGCAACGCCGTGCGGTCAACATCGACGCAAATCACCTCGTCGTCCCTTGCACTGAGCACATATCGCTCGATGCCCGCGCACCTATCAGATGCCCGTGCTGCTGTGGCAGCCCGATATCGTCATGTCCTGTTGTCTGGCGCAATTCCATTTCGGGGTTCTCTCACCAGCCTGCGTAGATGGACGGTCCGGTACTACGAGAAGGGGAGTAGACAAATCGGAAGCCGGGAACGCGCGCGAATCTCCCGAGATCGGCGCCGCCAGCGGCTGCGATGTGCTGGCGGCTGCTGGGTATACCTAGGTAGCTGTAGGATCGCTCGGGTGCCTGGGTAATTAGTGATGATGAGAAAAGGATGGGACGGGGTCTGCGTTGGTTTCCAGATAGATGGCGAATGTGACGCAGGCCTATATTTGAAACTGGCGCCACCGTTGCCGCTTCGACTGGTGGCCGACAGCGAGAGACCCGATCAGATCGCAGGATAGGATCAATTTCACCTACACCTTACTTGCCCGCTGATAGTTGCCCCAACCCCCTCCTCCTCCCGCCATCCGTCGCTTGATTTTTCTCTCGGCTACGTCGAAGAACGTTGTAGATATCCCGGGGTAATGGCCTCCGCTTCGTGCCATGTCACCGACGCATTCTCTATTTCGGCAAGTTGCATCTGCCGTACGCGTCGACGGCGCACGACGCGCAAATCCCGGCCCTGCCACCGACACCCCGACTGGGTGAGCTGAGGGCGTGTCTCCCGGACCGTCTGAGTGGCGCTGGGCGAATCGAGGCGCTGTGCCACTTCGCTCCACGCAGGGTCGAGGTCCTAGGTAGATACTTAAAAACACTTATGCTTACTTCATCTTCACACCGTCGGCCGCCGGCCGTTCGAACAGCTTGGAAAATATTTCGTTGTCTTACTTAGATCATCCCCTCCGTCTTACCACCAACGATCCCGGGATCACCACCCGAGCTGCCGCCCCCCTTCAGCGACATATATCTGCTAATCCTAGATTAAGGTACCTGGCCAATGAAAACGCAAAGCCTGGGAGGCTCAAAAACGTGGCTACAGAGATGTCCCCGCCCTGTCCGCTTGGCCTCCGAGACGATGTGGAAAGCCCGGCGGGCAACCGCATGCCGGCAACTCACACACGAACGGGACGCGCCTATTAGGGGGTACACTTGGGGCTACAGACTCTCTGGCAACAGAGGCAATACAGGTAACGTCCTTTTCTCCGTCTCGCATACTCTCTCTTTCCCACATTCTCCTGCGCTCCACAACCTAGAGACTTCTGCTCCCACCCTGTAGGTAGGCGTTACATGCACCCTGGTAACTTGGTGCTCAACAAGGGGTACCTAGATAACGTCCTCACTCTCCCCCGGCTGTGCTGTAGCAAACATGACGTGTGTTCGACTTGCCAGTTACAGTTGCGTATCGACATAGCGGGTAGGTGGTATTAGGTAGCGTCGGTGATGTCTGTGCCGAGGCTAGACGACGGGCTTCGTAGCTCATAGATATGTCGTGCTGCACCGGAGTCCACTACTGGAACCGGTACCAGCCGTGCGGAATGCCCTCGGAAGAGGAGGTCATTGCGTCGGTCCAAATCCACGATGTAGTGTAACACTGACCAAAGAATAGATCTCGGAAAAGTCTATTTCCTTCCTTTTCTCGTAGTAAAGGGCAGCTCGCAGGGTTACTCTGCGCAAGGGCGAGTGGATGTAGTACAATAGCTTTAGGACCGATTCCCTTCGTGGCGCCGCTCTTCGGAATGCGATCTTCCCATAAGCGAGGTAGCCGCAGTGAGGACGTGTAGCCGCTCGGAGCCACAACTAGAGACGTGGTACGGATGAGTCGTCTCGGAAGGTATATCGGATCCTCCACTCAGTAGCTGTCAAATACCCGGATTACCAGGGCTGTCTTAGATCTCCCATTCGTCCAGTAGCATACGCCGCAGAGAACAACAATATAACACCGTCTGTCGCCCGGCACTGCGGCGAAAGTCCAACAATCCGACATTGTGAATTCCCGCATGATATCAGGGGTGGATGTAAGGCGTTCCGAATGACTAGGGGGTATGGAGACATATTGAGCAGCCCGACATTAGGTACGTGAAGAGGACACGCGAACCCGCCAGCGGCTTGCCACGTTCGATGAAAGAAGCGAGACAGAGCTCGCCCACCATATCGTAAACGCCAAGAGACATGTCGACAACTCATTACACGCGAGATAGCGCAATGTGCTCTGCTTCCTTTAGCCCGTTATGAGGCACTTACTATCCCAATCCACTCCGTTGAGTCTGGGGGGCGGATCGGCTCGATGCCCAAGACGTATAGCTTGATTATTCCACAGACCTAGGACGCGGCCGTTTCGCGGGACCATTGAATGACCCTTTATCGTGGTAAGGCGGTGTTCTGGGGCCAACATCTGGAAATGGTAGGAGGGTTAACGAAAGGTGTGAGGCGTGGGAGCGGAACAGGACGTGAATTCGAAAGGGAGACGAGACGGGCGTGGAATAGGGGCTAATTATTTTATCCAGAGTATACGCGTCGTATTCGAACAGGGCTTCTCCGCCATCCAATTCCTAGCAGCTTCCTGTTTCGAGATGACTGCTAGATCGGGGGTCCGTCGCGTAGTCACATATAATGCCTACCGAGGCTTCCCTCCCTCCCTCCCCCGCGGCCCTACGGACGGATGTTAGCGTCTGCGTGTTCCTGGTGGCCGGGGGCCGGGGGGGGTGTGTAGGCGCAGGGGTCCGGCATCCAGGCGAAGTCGACGGCGTCCCAGGGGGAGGGCTGGCCGGAGGCGGTCTTGGAGGAGTGCTTCTTGGCGCGGACGACCTTGACGGCGTTCTCGGCCTGGCAGCGGTAGGAGCCGAACTCCCAGACCATGCAGGCGGCGTCGCCGCGCTGCCAGGTCACGTGGACGGCGACGAGGTCGTAGAAGAAGTTGGCCTGGAAGAGCGCGCTGAGCGCCCGGAAGTTGACCACCCGGCTCGGCCCCGTGATCTGCACCACCCGCGACGACGCCGACGGCGCCACCGCGCTCTTCCTGATCCGGTTCGGCCGGATCCGAGGCCGCCGCCCCCCGATCTCGAACGTGCCCGCCCGCGCCAGCGCTCGCTCCGCCCCCGCGCGGTCGAAGAACACCACCTTGGCGCACGCCGTGTCGTAGTTGTAGGTCGGCTGCCCCAGGTGCGACGAGAAGACCTTGCCGGTGTTTCGTAGATGCGACAGGACGAGTGGGAGCGTGCAGTCCGGGGGCAGGTTCGTGATCCAGATGGAGCAGTTCTCGCTGTCCGAAATGTTCTCGGGCTGGTTCATCGGCAGGGCGCCGTTGCCGCGATAGTTATCCAGGGGAGGTGTGGAGCTTCTGTCCGACGGCTGGGTGTCGGCCGCAGGGGCGGGCCATACCTTTCCTAGTTTCTCTGCGACTGCCCGCATCACGCTCTCTGTTACGCCGCCCGACCAGTCCATCGTGCTTCCTATCGACCGGATCGATGTGAGTGGGAAGCTGAGCTTCCCCTGGTATATGGCCTGGATCGCGGCAGGCTTGATCGAGTTGGGGCTGGTGTCATCGTGAGCCATCTTTCTCGCCGAAACTTTTCGGTTGCGAGGCGTTTCGCTTCAGGCACCATCAACGACGTAAGAAGGTGTAGCGGAGTCTGTCTGGGATCAAGATGTTGCGGAGGAGCGGGTATCGGTTGCTCGTCTGTTCGCTGGTTCTTGGATGGGTGGTCGAGGGGCTGGATCACTGGGGGATGGGGTCGGGAGGATGACGAAGACAAGAAGACTAGGAGAAGGGACGTCGGAATATAGGGGTGACGAAGTTAACGATGAAGGAAACATTGAATACCAGCTAACAATGGTAAACAGCAGTGAGTACCGCGACGAATCAGCCTCGTACTGTCTACATTCACTTTGGAGGTGACTCTCGTCCATCGGTACATAAGAACGTCTTCTGGGTACATGCCTACGGTACCTGGGCCTAGGGGAATAGGTAGTTATACCTATAGCTGGGTTCCTGATTTTCCATGGCAACTCGCGATAGGCAACATGTTAATCATCAACCCTACGGGCTTCATGACCTGATCACACATGTGCCTATTATGTACTCAGGTCACAAGGGTGGCTTTCATCAGTGAAGTGTATAAAATTGCCTTTGTCGTGGCTGAAGTGTTTCTTTTTATGTAAACCGCCTGGATGGCAATGCCTTCTCCGCCTTTTAAGGATCAGTCTGACACCAGGAGTTGTTTACACCCATCCACATATTCACTTCAGATAGCTATAAACAAAACCTCACTGCTGAAACGAACAGCAGTTTGGACTACCATGTAGGTAGTTGAGATATACCCTCTGGCTGATGCGCAAGCGGGATAATGCCCAGTCGTATAGGCCGCCCTTAGTCTCTTTTCTGCTAGCTATACAATCATGCGATTATGCCTTCTTGGGCTGGGCATCTGCCTTCTATACCAGGATTCCGAGTCCTAGCTCATTCCGAATCAGGCCTCATCATAGGCACCTACGACGATAATTGGCCAGACTACGGGGCGTCCAACCCGCAATCGTCTCCCCTGGTATATTCAAATCTACGCATTCCGGGGTCCTGTTATTCCATTTCACCCACGCGTCGACAAGTCAGCCCTGTGTCCGTTTTTCTTCTGGTCTGGGCTCCGTATACCCTCCCGGGAAGCCCGGCCCGTTAGTCGCCCATTGGCCGCCTATTCCCTGGGCTTCTGCCTAGTACCTATAATGGGGATTCTACCTCGACTTGTTCAGGGGTCGATGGAGGATATATATCCCCCGTCTCTGCCCTTAACTCTGCATCCGAAAGTCAAGCACCCGCCTGTCCCTTCATTCACCCGCTTCGTGTTCTCTTTTCGTCCCTCGCTCGCTCAATCTCACACACGCGTAACGCAGGATCTTCGCCACGATGCTCGCCGAACTTACCCTCGCCTCTCTCCTCGCCTCGCTTCCCCTGGCCCTCGCGGTCCCGGAGGTGACGGTCAAGGCCTTGCCTTCCGACTGCTCGTCCTTCCCGGGCTACAATGCCGCAGCCAACACCGCCGGTCCGTGGACTGTCGAGCTGGCGAACAGCGAAAACGCCGCCATCGAAAGCTTCAGCGACACGTCTGTATACTCTATCAAGTACGATCCTAGGACCGACAGCAGGCCCACTCTGAGATGGGGATCTGTATGTATCCAAAATGAGCTCGGCCCCGAGCGCGTGCGCAAATTCTGACAGCGCGGTGTAGATCACGTTCCCGACGCGCAACGACATCGCCAAGAACCCCCTGAAGTGCGAAGCCGGCGTCCTCAAGGGATGGGTGCCGACTGACCTCGCTACCACGGGGGCCCCTACCAGCTACCAGTGGATCCCGTTGGTGTTTTCGCCCTACTCGTACGACGCGGCCCTGATGTGGAAGATTGACGGGGAGGCGCCCGAGATTTTCGAACACTACATCGGCGACGAGAAGCAGGACGGCGTGTTCCTCGGGTTCAACGGCAGCACGACGTGGGGCCTCAAATACTACCCCCAGAACGCCGGGTCGAGCGGTCAAGACTACTACTACGCGCGACTCCTCGGCCCGAACAGCGCGGACCCGGCCACGGGTCAGCCTCTCAAGGCTAACGAGACCGTGGCCTTTGTCAAGATTTCGGCTTAGGGCCCTGCTACCAGAATCTCTTGAAGCGTAGCCCTGGCGTCTGTCCGTGTGTCGAAAGCCAAGAAATACCTCCTCACGTAAGGGTTCTGGAGTTGGAGGCGAGTAGGACCTGAGGGAGTAGGGGACATCTTTCACGCATACTTCCCATCGCGTCGGACCACGGTTGTACAGGGAGGGTTTCGGGAGAAGAATACTGGAGACATGGTGCACTTCCTTTCGCTAAGAGGTAGTCTTGACTTTCAGGGGCTGGTGGGTTTCGTACCTATCGCCGACAGGACTCCTTGGACCTCCCTACTCTATATTGGACGCTGAATTTCACGTCCTGAACTATAAGAATTCTACTTGAATCTCTAACACGGTCTAGAAAATAAATGTTTCATTTGGGGTTAGATCACTTTTCCAATTTGCTACTACAGAAATTGATTGTGATGCCTATCGATGTCTAATGGACATCGTACTGTGGAAAACTACTACAGATGTAGTCGGTGATATAGGGGTAGATTACGTTATCATTTACGCGAAGGACGACCTGCTTCTTACAGGCTGACTATTAATATATGGCAGAGGGGTTGAGGGGTTGTGTGACCGTAATTATCATATTATGTATCATCACATTTCTCCCATCGTAGGGCAGAGAAATCTCACCATGATGCATTAAATACAGGTCCATCGGCCCACCCAAATACGGCTCCCGTCGGTTAGGGGCACGATTAAAGCTATGCGCAAAGCTTTCGGAACGTTCGGTCCTCCCTAGCTACCTCTCCTTCCCGCGTTCGAGGGTCGCGTCGAAGGTCTACGAGAGCGCCTCAACGATGGCTGTGTACGCGGCCTTCGGCTTGTAGCTAGCGTCAAAGAGCAGCGGCGTCTGCTGAGATAGCCACGAGTCCTAGAGAAGGTTAGTTGGGTTTAGATAATATTTAGCGATCGGTAGTACTCACGGCATCGCTCACACCCCACGTGGTGATACCAACGCAAGACTCGACGGCGAGACAGGCGTTGGTGACCTTGACGTACTCATCGACAGGTGCGTTCACGATATCGAGCTCCGTGATGGCGAGCTCCTTGACGCCAGTCTGAGCGAGCTTCTCCAAACCAGCCTGCATGCCGGCGGCGGTCGGGTTGCCACCGCCGAGGTGGCCCTGGATGCCGATGCCGTCGATGGGGACGCCGGCAGCGAGCCACTTGCTCACGTGGTCAAACATGCCCTTCGTAACCTTGGCAGATGTGGCGCTCTCTAGGTGGAAGTCGTTGATGTACAGAACCGCATCCGGGTCCGCCTTACGCGCCGCCTCAAAAGCGATGCGGACGACGTCCTCGCCCAGCAATCGCGTGAACACGCAGTCACGGAGAGTGCCGTCGGAGGCGAAGATCTCGTTAACGACATCCTGCACGCGACTAGTTAGTCCTTCTTCGTTTTCGGAAGATACACCCTAACGACGCGGTTAATACGTACCCAAGCGCGAATCTTTCCCTTGTACCTCCCGACAACGGTGCTGATGTGGTTCTCGATAACGCTCTGGAGCTCGGCGGCGTCGGTAATCGCCTCGACATAGCTTGGGAGCTGCTGGTACCACAATAGAGTGTGGCCGCGCACGCTGTGGCCGTTCTTTACCGCGAAATCGACGAGCGCGTCGGCACCTGCGAAGTTGAAGCCGCCACGGGTGGGTTGGATGGCGTCCCACTTCATGCTGTTCTCAGGGGTCAGCTGGCCGAAGTTGGCGTTGATAACGGCAGCATTCTGGGCCTTGGACAGCGTGCCCGAGTCGGCGGCCGTGCCGTAGTAGAGCTTGCCCTTGGCCCTGTAGAGAGCGTCGATGCTGTTAGACGAACCGCCATTGCCCGGGCTGGAGGACGGAGTCGCAGACGGACTAGCGGAAGAGCTCGAAGACTTGCTAGGCGAGGCTGGAGCTGAAGGAGCCACAGTGGGAACCGCCGAGGAGGTGGCAGTCGGAATCGCAGACGTCGGAATCGCGGATGTCGGGACCTCAGACGTCGGGATTGTAGATGTCGAGATCGTAGACGTCGGGACCGTAGACGTCGGGGCTGGCTGGCTAGATGTCGCGGTAACACTGACCGCGATAGAGGACACCGTAGACGATGACTGAGGGCGACCACCGCCACAGGGGCGGGCAATGATGCCCATGGGCCCTAGAAGGCACGCTAGCGTTGCTGGCTTCATTTTCAAGAAAAGCTATAAGAAAATTTTATTAAAAAGAAAGGTGCAAGTAAGAAGCTATGAGAAGCGAAAAGAGCGAGTGTGGCTGGCAAGCTTGAGAGTTTGATTAACGAGAGTGAGCGGCCGAGGAACTCGTTTACCGCGAAATCGGGGATCTTCTGTAAGACAGATGAGAGAGAGAAACCGTCTCGCCGACTTCACATCAAAAGTCTCTCTCCCTCACAGTCGGGGGAGAGGCAAAGTAGATATAACCATCTTAACCTCCCACACTAGGGGCGCCGCTGGACCGCTCAATCCGGAATCCGTTGCCGAGCCACGCACGATGCCTCGCATTCAGCTAGGCGGTCGTAGTGACGGTTCCCCTGAAGACGACATGCTGCCTCGCAATGTCCCCCCCTCTGTAGCGGCCGCCGAAGAACAAATTCGGCATGTTTACTGTCTTTCTGCCTCTTGGTCCCCACCTCGGAAAGCAGCCGAGACTGGGAGATGGTGGTGAGATCTCCTTAGACATATGCAGCTAACTGGTGGGGGCGCGCAGGAACAGGGAACTAGACATGACCGCAACCCACATGTCTGGGAGCGAAGGCAAGGGTAGTGACAGGTGGTTCTCCAGACGAGTGCCCGGACCCTGGACATTGATCACCACAGGGGTATCATTAGCAGGCAAATCACACATAACATCCATCCATCTATCCATCCATCTAGCTATACACCTCTGCTCGGGCGTGGACTGGTAGGTATGGTGTGGTATCGCTCGAAGCGAATACACGTACCTTCGTAGTTATACCGAGATGCGCTACAGAAACGCCAAGATGCCTCGCTCTGTTCCGATAGGCGATACAGGCGACGGCGCTTCCGAGGTGGGGGTGACGCCATCTCGCAGAGCGAGGGAACGTGAACGGCGCCGGTTGCGACGGGCTCTGTTGCTTTACCCCTATTCGAAGTGGTGAATGCGCGAACGAGGACGGATACGACGTCGTGTTGCCAGAGCGTTTCAGGATACGACTCACGGCCCAACACTGCCCTCTGAACTCTTGCCCGCGAGCAGGGTATGTAGAGGATGCGTAGGGTTAGCAGCGTCGTTTGCAGTTAGCGCGGTGGGCGAGTATAGGAAAGGTGTGATGAACGCCTAGGCATTAATGAGCGGCACATATAGCGACTTGTTTATGAGTAGGTACCTACCCCAGCGTTAAGCTACCGACATAATGCCACCCAGCTTGACAGATGGTAGTTTGCGGCGTAGTACTAATAGCATATCGTAGTAAGATGTAGGTTGGTAGGGCATGTAGAGATAAGCGCGTGCACAATTTCGCTTAAAGTCGCAAAGTCCTACCAATGTTGTCTGCCTATGCAAGCAATTAAGGAATTATGCAGTTTTTTAAAAACAAAGATATCAATGTAGATCCTAGGGCATCTTAAAAGGAGCCCTGCGATTGGATAGATTAAAGAAAAACGCTTATTAATAAACCTTAAAATACTATATTTAAGCTGTTTCTAGTAGCTAGCTTAATTTCTTTAATTTAATAATATTAAGTTCAGCTCTTAACTATAATAGGCTATGTCTATTGTAGGTCCTTAGCTAGTGCTAAGGCATGGTACGTAATTAGTACTTACAAAGGATAAGGCTAGCTATTGCAAGTATAGTCTATAAGGTATACTTTTCTCCTTTTTTTTCTCGTCTAGCTTTAATTTATTAATATACGGCTTTTATGTAACGAATAACTCGTAAAACCATAATAAAACACTAAACCAACCTTCTTTATTATTTTACGGAATTAGTATTAAAGTACGCGAAATTAGTAATAGGAACGGCGAAGCAGCCCTTAGAAAGGCGGTATTGAGTTGATAATCGGAAAGGTGGTATTAATATTTAGATATACTAAGAAGGAGCAGAGCGTACGCGATACTAGAGCCCCAGATAAGCTTACTTAAAAGTACATTCTATCGAAGACTATAGTACGTACGATAATCCAGAATCGATAAAACTAGTATTACTATACTAATCGAGAAACGGGGAATCTAATATAGTTATCGTATTTTAGGTATATCCTTTAGTCGTAGAGATATAATAATCGCTAGCCCGAAGGTATAAGAAGTAAGGGAAGAAAAGAGGTTAAACGTAAAAGTTATTTATTTAGTTATAACGGTACGAAGAAGCAACTTAAGCGCTTATAATTAAAATAGATATATTAATCGGAAAACGATAAATTTAATAATAATAACGAATCTTTAATTAAAGTAAAGATAATAAAGATATTAATTTAATTAAGTAATAAATTAAATAATAAGTATAATATAACCCGTACTTACGGAAGCTATAGTTACTCTATATAGTGAACAGGAGCAGCGTAGGCACGCTGTGATGGAGGCACGAAAACAAGGACTGCCTAACTGCCAACAACTGGCCCAGTGCCGATCAACCTAAGATCACAGCTGTAAACAGCTGTAATCGGTTAATCGGCCAGCTGAAAACGGCAGCTAGGAAAGGAAAAAAGGAAGAGGGGAGAGACTAGAATCGAGCAAAGGAGGATAGCTAGAAAGGCGTGGCAAGAAACGAGTGAATGGCTGTTGGTCGTGATGTCTACATGTTGTAGTGGTGCGGTAAGACATGCCCTCTTAATGCATTACGTAATACGCTACGATAGGCCTTATACTTATATAGAGTAACCATAATACCCGTAAGTACGGGACATGCTATACTTATTATCTAATTTATAACCTAGGTAGATTACTATCTTTATTATTATTACCTTAATTAAAGATTCGTTTTTACTATTAGATTCGTCGTTTTCCGATTAATATATTTATCTTAGTTATAGGCGCTTAAGTTACTTCGTCGTACCGCTATGGCCGAATAAGTAACTTTTACGTTTTACCCCTTTTCTCCCCTTACCTCTTATGCCTTCGGGCTAGCGATTATTATATCTCTACGACTAAGGGATATAGCTAAGATACGATAACTATATTAGATTCCTTATCTTTCGATTAATATAGCGATATTAATTTTATTTATCTTAGACTATCGTACGAACTATAGTCTTTGATAGAGTATACTTTCGAGTAAACCTACCCGGGTTTCTAGTATCGCGTACGCTCTGCTCCTCCTTAGTAGCGACTACCCTATAACTTTTCGACCCCTTAACCTTTAGTTTACGGAGTTTTTATTACGTTACTAGGATTTAAAGGATACCGATCGCCGTCGGCGCCGCTATTTAACCCGCGAAGTAATCCGCGTTTTACGTTAAATAAAGTATCCCGCCTTATGATTATTTATCTACTATAGAAAGGTACGTATAAGCCCGGGAACTTTTACTATAATACTATAGCCGCGAGGATATTACTTAGCTCTTAATAATTATAACGCTAATAAGCTATCGATACTACGATCTAATACGACGAATAAATAACGCTTATAGCGATTAACGCGAACCTCGTAAGACCTTTTACCTACCTATGGAAAGGCGTCCGTAAGCTTAGGAAACTATCGTCGTAATACTATCGCTACTAGGAATAATACTTAGCCCTCGATATTAACCGCTTCCTCGAACCGCTAATAATATAATATATCTCGCGCGAATAAATAACGCTTATAACGATTAGGATAGCCCCCTTATAGTTATCTATCTACTATATAGAGGACGTACGAACGCCTTAATATAAATTACGATAACCTATACGATCCGCTACTCCCTTATTAATACTAAGGGCGGATAAAGGCTAATAATAATTATGCCTTAACCGATCTTACGATAGCTTCTTTTTCCTTCTAAACCTATTAATCGATATAGATTAAATATATAAATACTAATAACTTATTATACTAGAGGTATTTTAAGATATCTAAGCGTAGCGATTCGACGATATAATATACGATATAATATAGATATTAATATTAATAATATAGATAAGATTAATAAATTAATAGCTATTAATAACCGATAGTTTTAAGGAGAACTAGGAATTAATATTAATAAAACTATATAAATATAAAGGATTAAGGAAACGGAACTAAAGTCGAGTTAATAGGTATACTTATATATAGTCTGGCCTTATATTACTAATTAATAACTAATATAGCGAGAAGTACTAACATAAGCGTAAAACGACGCCTAGCGGTAATACCGTTAATACTATTAAATAACTTCCGTTAAATCGAAACCGGCTTATGGCTATAACCGGTATCGTATCTAACGTGATTCTTTACTCGGGATCTATTCCTTATACGTATTACCTTAACTCTGCGATAAAACTTAACGCCTAAATTATTTGCGACGCCTTTTTACCCTAAGATAGAGATTCCTTTACTTGAGAATTCGCTATATATTTAATCCTTATAATCGTCGACTTTTTCTTTAGGTATAACTAAATAACGCTAGCGGAAACGAACCGTAACTTAACTACGTTCGTTATTCTTATTAGCCTTTTACGTATAATGACTCTATTATAAGGCGCGACGAACTTAATTACCGCTTTTTTCCGGGCCGTTATACGAATTCTTTACGATTTAATCCCCATTAAATACGAGCCTTTCTTCGACGACGTCGGTATTAAAGGGCCGGTATCGAGATACGATAACTAGGAGGTTTTTCTAGGAATACGACGCTTTATCTTAAAGTACTTAGAAAATATCGACGCCGTCTTCCTAAACTTCGAATTAACCGATACTATTACTAGCGTCGTTAAGTCTACTTAGTATAAAGATAGTACGGTAATCGTCGGATATTTATACGGTATAAACGATAGAAAGTCCTCGGAAGCGAAGATAGTTAAGATCTTAAAATAAAGGTTATATAAGAATATAAACGAAGTAAGGTCTTTTATCGGTATTACGGTTTTCTTTAAGATATGAATCGATTATTACGTTATAATCGCTAAATCCCTCCTAATATTAATACGTAAAGGAGTATATTTTATTTAAGGTATTAATTAATAATATATTATAGATTCGTTTAAGATTACTTTTATTAACGTATCGGTATTAATTATTTTATATTATACTATCGAATAATTAATCCGAATAAAAGTCGACGTATTAAAAGACGGTTAAGGCTACGTATTAAGTTAGGATAACGATAAGGGTAACTTTAGACCTTCGAAATACGAGTTAGGAATTTAGAAAGGGGCGGAGTTAAATTACGACGCTACGAAACGAAAGTATTTAGGAGTCGTTAAGTCCCTACGGCGGCTTCGAAACTACTTTTACGGCATTTACTTC